AATTCCCAGTGGAACATAGTAACAATGAGAAAAATCTCATGACAAAGGGACCTTCGGGAAGCTCTGAAGGTGCCTTTGAGAGGTGTCCCTCAGTTTTTCAGTTTACAAGATAAGAACTGATTGTTCAACTCCATTTTAGGATGTGGCTGCATGATATATTTGCTTTTCAAACTTAAGAATTTCCTGTTTATCCCACTTTATTCCTTCCTCTCCCACATGACAATGTTATTAACTATTTTCTGCTCAGAAAAAAGTAAAAATTGCTTGCTTCATGAAGCCTTAGATCGCTGGTTTGGGCAGTTCAAGTGCTTTAGATCAACTTCAGCATATTTGTCTGCATTTTCCCAGTTGGATATGACTTTAAAGAAGTTTTTGAGGGATTACTGTAATTAGTATGATATCAGGGTCTTTATAAAACTGTCTCTCTGAGAGCCTTTAAGGACAGAGAATCTTACCATCAACGGAGACCAGTATCATTCCTGAAAATTTTTGTGGTGAGTTTTAGAGGAAAGATAGAAGAATTTTTAAAATTCTTCTAAATTTGCAAAGTATTTATCAGAAAGTCTGGAATGGGAATGTATGTCTTTTCTATAGCTTTCGTTAGGACTGATTTTTTTTTTTTTTTTTTTTGAAATGTCAGTTTGAGATACACCTGTATGTATCACTGTCAAACTTGCACCTGTACATTACATGAGATGATTATTAGTCTATATCTTCATTATATTTAGAGTACCTGCCACATCTGCAGCCTAGACAAGTATCAGAAAATTGCTAGTCATGCTACAAATTCTTAGCTCTTTTCTCCTCATTTAAGGTTTTATATAAGTGATTCTTAAACCAGAGAGGTGGTCCCACTGCTGGGATATACCTCTAGAAGCACTGGAGAGCCACTGGTAGTGGAGGGGAATAGAAGTCTACTATTGCCTCAGCAATCAAAAGGTGAGAATGATAGCATTGCTTGCTATAGGTCCTCCAAAGATTAAAAAAAAAAGATAGTAAACTGACTATGAAGAAACTGAATTTGGAAACTAAGATTCTAACAGGTGTGAGGAGCCTTCCAAAAATTAGGAACAGAGTAAGAGACTGAATTAGTCTTAAGGTGGAGCTTTACACCTGTTTTTTAACCCTTTTACGTTGTGTGACTCCCATCTCATCAACCGTGGTAGGAGGCTAAAATTATCCTACAGCAATCTTTTTTAGTCTTTTTGTTCATAGCTGTTCTTTTATTTGGCTTCATAAACTAGGGAGATAAGGTAGTGCAAGAATGTTTCTTTTCTGAAAATTTGATGGTAGCGGATATTTTACAGTTGTATTGTTGCTTTCTTCTCCTCAATATTAAATCTCTCATTTTTTTAATATTCTTTTTGTTCCACAGCTGCAATGCACAATTGTTACTTGATTTACTGTATTAACACTAATACACAGGGCAGGATGTAGTAAAAAAATAAAGCAGCAAATTAATAGTGAGAAATGATTATGTTTAAGAAAAATCTGGACAATACAGATATCTGAATAGCAAAAGTGCACATTATCTGTAAAGAGTGTTTTTTCCTCTAAATGAATTTCAGTTCTATTCTCAGCTGGGGTTATAGGTATGAGAAATTTCTAATTGAAAACTTAGATATAAGGTCTTGGCAAAAGGGACAACATCCACAATTATATCTGCTTTTGAAATTAGTAAGACGTTTGCATTCTTGGAAACCACTACTGAAAATGGGAAAATATTCATTATTGCAGAACTGGTAACATTAATTTAAGAAAGAATTTCCAATGGGGAAAGTGAAAATAGTGTTTGTGAGAGCCTACCTGATTCTACGTTAGCAGTAGGGGTATTTCCAGAAAATATTTTTTTGCTTATTTTTATTTATGGAAACTTCTTTGACAACATTTCCTTGTTCTCCCAGTGTTACCTTTGCACAGATCTTGCTAGATACATATGTTCATCGGAAGTTCAGTAACCTTCAGACACTTCTGTAGCTGATTTCATAGCTTCCATCTCACTCGATTTTCTCACATTTTCCCATTTAACTTCATTCTTCATCTAATATAGTTCAGCAATCTACTTCAGTGTGTGCTGTAAAAATAACCTTGTTGTTTTGGAGTCACACTGCTATAAGCAGAAACCAAAGCTGGAAGCATGATTGCCCAAGGTTTCATTTAGACTAAATGGAGAAAGGCAGACATCCCTAGAGAATGATTTTGAAATTTTTTGTAAAAGCTTTTTTTCCATCTACAAGACATCTTATTTGAAAAAAAAAAAAAAAAGTTGAATTGTGTTAACTTTTAGCTTCTATGTGAGCTAAAATATTGAACTTGCTTGCTTTTTCTGTTCTTCCTCTTATTTGCTACTGCCTAATGGGATTTTTTTTTTGGTATGGAGCAAATATCTTTCAAGTAAGAAGAAAATGGAGTTTGAAGCTTGACTTCATTTCTACTTTGGTCTGTTTGATGATTCTGACTTCATTGAGAACAAAATCAGGCTTCTACCTTTATTGTTCAAGGCTACGCCCCCAAACAGTAGTATTTTTAACCTTCTGCTGAAAAATAATGATCAGCACCGGAAAACAATTTGTCAGGAAAAAGTGTTTCAACATCTCTATTTCCATTGTTTAGAAAAGGGTTGTAATGGAGTTTCAGGTAAAAATTGCTTTAACATCGTTAGCTGAAATTAGTTCAAGACTGTAGAAAATAAAATTTATAGTACTCCTTCAATGCAAATAATTTGTACTTATAAGAGTGTTTCAAACACCGGATTATAATCACTGTACCTCTGTCACCAATCCCTGTGATAGAAGCTGCAGATTAATGTGTAGTGGATTCTGTACTGGAAAAACAGATCTGTAAGGAGAGTGACGCCTGTGGGATTATGCTGCTTGGTCTTTCAAAAACAGCTTATGTTGACGAACTTCATTGATTCAATTTTTTATTAGGTTTTAGGGTTTTTTTAAAAAAAGAAGGATGCATATGTAAGATACTTCAAATATATATAAATAATTTGAAGCAGAATTTGAGGAAGAAAACCTGAGGAGTTTTTTTTTTTTTCCTTTTTCCACTTTTATTTCCCCGGTCTATTTTTCCACTAGGGTCCTCATTTGTTTTTATTTTAATTCTCTCATCTCTTGAAGGAAGCATAATTTAGGGCAATTATGCCTTAGATTATCTAGGATGGCCAGACCATACACATTTAATGAAGACCTGCTTTTATCCAATTTTACTGCTAAGGATTGTCAAGGGATTTGCTGGAGGTCAAGCATTAAGTGTTGCTTCCCATTTTTTGAACCATCGTATTGACTAGCTCGTTGCTGCAAAAACTAGACCATATTGTCGCTGATCTGGTTAGGAATACTGAAAACTGAGGGAAATTGTATTACTATTTGATTGTCCTGATTAGTAATTTCAACAACAAAACAGACTACAAAATGGGTTCACTTAATTCAAGAATATGTTAAATTCTGAAGATGACCAAATATTTTTTTTTCTTTTCTTTTCACAGTCTGTGTTTTGTACACACAAGCCATTGGAAACAAAGAATGGAGAGAGGTAAGATACGTATTCATAGATGTGTAAACTTTTTGAGTATACTTAAGGCTGGTCGTTTGCCCTCGCAGAGGACGTCATAGCCTCTTGAATGCCATGGTAAACAACAGGAGTCATATGTACCAGTGAACACTTAAAACCTTGTCACATTAATCTCGATTTCCATATCTGTATCACATATTTCCATTGAAAGAGAAAACAAAATTAGACAAAATACATGAGTTTCCTGTTTTACAATCTCGCTAAGATAAATGAAATCAAACTTAGTTAACTATCAGTCTGTACACGGTTTGTGGATATCAAGAGAGGAAGACACTCGAACAGTACAAGATCTGTGGAAGAATTCAACTGTGGTGATGGTCAGTGTCAGCAAAACTAGCTTGTAGTTGTGGTAGAGGTCTACTTTTCCTATGTAGTGTTTGGGAGAAGTTAGGTGCTGCTGAATAGAGTATACACCAGGCAACAAGGGAGGAAGAGTATTATGCATAGGTTGGACTATGTCTTCTTAACCTATCAGTGTAAACACTGGAGAGAGATGTCTTAAGAAACTAAATCAAGTACCTCTAGATTGGGTATCTACAGCAGATCAATATTTATAGCCTGGACCTGTCTCCCTGTACTTAGTCATCTATTTTTTCTCCTTTCATGTTATTCTTTGAAAGAGTTGATGGTGTTGGGGGGAGGATGGTCATCTTTCTACTGATAAAATGTGCTATTTAGCTGCCTTACAGAGAGGATTGATGGAACTGTTCTTCACTGTAGGTGGTCCGCTGTGTGGCTATGCGTTCTAAGAATAGAGCCAAGAGAGGAATGAACTATCTTACTATTTTTCCCTGTAGAAGAGATGAGGTCTGATGTTCTTGTTTTCAGAACTGATGTTTTGTGTGATTACTACCGTGTAAAAATCCCAGTGGAGGGGTCAGGGGCACAGAAACCAGATCTCTTCCCTTATATTTGGTGTCCTTGCCAGTTGGCTGGAGAAACATAGTTTCTGCTTTGCTGAAGCACAGTGGATGTGGGTTTCAGTCTTGTGGAGATCAGAGAATTGCATTTTTCTCCTGCTTGGAGAAGAGCTCATATAACTGGGCAATATGTGAAACATTGTACCTATTTAATTTGTCGTTTTTAGTTAAATTGCTGGTCTCTGTTCTGAACTGTGTACTAGACATCCTCTCAGTATAGCTAGTGGATGACATTCCTCTGATGTGTGAAGAAATGTCAGTTTGAGGACCCTAAATAGGAATTCACTAATCTTAATTTAATTGGCAGAAGTAATGGACATACACAGAGTTCTAAATGTCTGGATAGCTAACTCTGAAAACGGAGGAGTCTTCAGGCATTCAGGTGACTAGGTGGCTTGGTGCGGTTTGGTCAAGCCTAGAGCAAGCCTAGATCGTCACTAAAGCATTCGGGACCTTTTCTGGTCTAGGGTTAAGAGGACTTTGTCAGAAATTCTGGCTTTTATTGTTGTCTAAGGTTCATATGTAGTTTTGTGGAATTTTCATACTTCTCTGGTCTAACTGTTAAGTATTAACCATTTTTAATATCATAATTGTCCTGATGGTAAAATTATAACATTATCACCTTACTTAGAAAATGTTCCATGGGCTCGTTTTGAGGTGATTTAGGAGATTGTTGATAGAAAGACTCCATCTGCTCTTGATTTTAACAGATCCAAGTTTGTAATGGTTGAAGTGTGTCACCACCTTATAGCTTTGTATTGCCTTCTGCCATTTTATCTCCTTGACCAAAGCAAAAACACCTGAACAGGGCAGTGGGCAATGTTTTTGCTTGTATTGCATCTCTGCACTGATTAGAGGGTATCTTGGCTAGGGGATGCACTTTGGCATATGGTTGTGGTATCATATGCCAGTTTAGGTACTACAGGGGTTAAAACAGACTTTTGACGTAGCAGTTGCTAGAAAATCTTCAATTTATCAGGCGAAGGTCGAGGTATAGGTATGTACAACTCAGTTGACTGTTTATTTATAGTTAACGGAAAAAGATAACATCCTGAGGGCAGTTCATCAGACCTAATTTAGATGTCTGTGTTAGATCAGATAAATCATTCTTTATAAATGCCTCCAAGTGATGATCAAAGCCTACACTTTTGACTATGTCAGATGTAAAGTTTGGTGAGTAGAACCCCATTCATAGTTGTTGTTATGACAGTCTAAATTCAGAGGTTGGCATGATAGAGGGGCTGAGTCAGGATTGCATTTTATATCTTGTGGTGTGTTATATTTATACCAGTGGCAAAAAATAAGGTAGTAGGTGGAAGAGTAGGTGATATATACATTAGATGGGTAGTCTTATATCTTTATTTTTGTGCTTCTGCCTGCAGTGGTGAATGCACTAATTCCGTGTTTTTCAATAAAATTCTGTATATATGTCTATTTTGTTGCATTTAAACACTTATTTAACATTTTACTAGCTTTTAGAGGTGGAAGTCACCTAGAACTGTTTGGAGAAGACAAAAATGAGACAAATAATAAGCCCCTGATATGTGTAAACATTAAAGAATGGTGTTCAGTCATGGCAACATACTTTACCTTATTTCTGTTCCATATCCTTTCATGCATAGTTCTCTTCCTTCTTTTGCCTAATTACTTTCTTTTGAACACTGCAGAAAATGCTTGGGGATCGTAAACACAGTAAACCATTTCATAATCTCCATAATTTTCCTAGCACTCTATTCTAGCAGTGTGCTTTTCCCCCCCTTCAGCTAAGCTATTCAGATGGATTCAATACAATAGTTAAATCAAACCCTTCATTTAATGAAGAGTAGATGTTTTCTGGGCACTGACTCCTGTTTGCGTGTTGTTCAGATTCCAGTGTTTTTACCCAGTGTTATTCTTGCACATCAAATCCTCAGCAAAGAATTAAAATGTTTCGTTGTCAATTTAATAGTGCTGTTGTTTTTTAAAACATTTTCCCTGTTTTCACTTACAGTGTGATCATCAGGTATTTCAATTAGTATAATTGGCACCAAATGCATCATCAGAATCTGAGCTTTGGTTTTAAAATATTTACTTGCCCTTACTTTGTGAGGACACTTTTGAAACATGGCTAAGTATAACTTACTGTTTAGCTACAGAAGCTTTAAATACTGTATTGAAAGAATCTGAATTTCTTCATTTGAAAGAGGGTGTTAATTCTGAAAACAAGAGGGAACATTTCAAAGGTGAATGTTAAAATAAATAATAGACATTGTAAAATACTCAGCCAACTGCAGTTTTACTGGCAATATCCACCAATGGTAAGTGTTAAGGAAATTCCTATGGAGTGATGCTCTGAGCCTCTCGTCCATCTACTGTTACAATGCATTGGATGCAAATTAATTTTGTATACCTGTCTGGAAGTCTGTTCTCTCACTGTTCCTCGTCATGCTGATTTCCAGCTTCATTAGACGCCTAATGTTATTTTATATCCTCATTAAATTTCCATTGTGTCTACTAAAATTGTTCATGGCTTTCCATTCTTCAGGCCTTCCTGTTCATTAATTCTTTCCGTGTTTTTTTTTTAAGTTTGTAAGGAAATTAAAAAATACTGTCATCAGCTGTGTGAAGTTCTTATACTGTACAGTTTATCAACAGAAAGACTTCTCGCTTTATGTGCTCACATTGCTTATTCAGCCATCCTAACTTCTGTATTAAGTTAGCTGTTACTTCTTTTTCCTCATGTGCATATAGTGTTTCATTCATCGATACGGAATTTCATATGCCAATTTATTGTCCAATAACTCTGTATGAATAATTTTGTTCTGCCAAGTCTTAATAGTTGCCTTTTATATATTTATCCTGTTTAATTCTGTAAAAATCTATTTGTTTTGTAAATCTGTTTTTGCAGTCCCTGCTCCAGATCATTTGGGCATGTATGGTACTGCATGGGTCCATCTACAGACATCCAAGCCCTTAGTAACTTGTTGAGACCTTGCAGGGAGTTTTCATCCAGCGAATCGACTGCTTGTTCTGATGTTTTCTTTCCCATCTACCAATAAATCAATAAATTACTGTAATAATAAAAATAATTAATTAGTAAATTACAATTAGTGATAGTTAACTTCTGACAGTAATTGATGTCCAAGAGGCGAATATCCTCCCCTTCTATCATAAGATACTAGATAATGTTGTTCCCCAGGACCCAGTACTGGGGCCTGTTCTCTTTAATAGCTTTATCAATGATCTGGATGAGGGGATCAAGTGCACTCTCAGTAAGTTCGCAGATGACAAGCTGGGCGGGAGTGTTGATCTGCTTGAGAGTAGGAAGGCTCTACAGAGGGATCTGGACAGCTTGGATCGATGGGTGAAGGCCTATGATATGAGGTTCAACAAGGCCAAGTGCCGGGTCCTGCACTTGAGTCACAACAACCTGCGACAGGCTTGAGGAAGAGGGGCTGCAAAGCTGCCCAGCAGAAAAGAACCTGGGGGTGTTGGTCGACAGCCGGGTGAACGTGAGCCAGCAGTGTGCCCAGGTGGCCAAGAAGGACAACAGCATCCTGGCCTGTATCAGAAACAGTGTGGCCAGCAGGACTAGGGAAGAGATGGTCCTGCTGTACTTGGCAGTGGTGAGGCCCCACTTCGAGTACTGTGTTCAGTTTTGGGCCCCTCACTACAAGAATGACATTGAGGTGGTGGAACGTGTCCAGAGAAGGGCAAAGAAGCTGGTGAGGGGTCCAGAGAAGGGCAACGAAGCTGGTGAGGAGTCTGGAGCACAAGTCTTATGAGGAGCGGCTGAGGGAACTGGGGTTGTTTAGCTGGGAGAGAAGGAGGCTGAGGGGAGACCTTATCACTCTCTGCAACTACCTGAAAGGAGGTTGTAGCCAGGTGGGTGTTGGCCTCTTTTCCCAAGTTAGAAGTGATGAGAGGAAACGACCTCAAGTTGTGCCTGAGGGGGGGAGGTTTAGATTGGATATTAGGAAAAATTTCTTCACCAAAAGGGTTTTTGAAGCATTGGAATAGGCTGCCCAGGGAGGTGCTAGAGTCACTATCCTTGGAGGTATT